CGCCAGTGTCAGTATATGTACTGATTCAGTGAACACCAGTGTCAGTGGCATACTGTCAGTAATTCACTGTTTTCACCGAAACTGCACATCCCTAGATTTGAACTCTTCACCTTGATTTACCCTAAGAAAGTCGTTTTTCCTATAACTTGATTTCTATTGGTTACTGTCCAACCAATGGGATTTCGAGGCGAATAGAGCACAGATTCGAGTTCTCCACCCCAGAAAACCTCGAACTATCATCTCTGTGATCGAAAGATAGAGCTCTATTTGTGGATCAATTAGAGCGTGGACAAAAACAGAACCGAATTCCGATTAATTATCTTTGCAATAGCTGAGATGGCTTTCTTGTTTCCTTATGTTTTATATACCACTTTGTAGCTCGTGAAATTCTCTATCGAATGGTATATAATAGTTGGGGTTTTAGTTGACTATGATAGGAAAAGTCTTTTACGAAAGTGGGGATGGGCCGATCTTTCCATAGGGAAGGTGCAGGGAAAAATGAGTATTTTTGCAATAACTCAGGAAGGGCTCGGCCAATCCTTCTCATCTTCGAACTCGACCGAGATATTGTTAAGACTGAACTGTGTAGAAAATTTCATCGCGATCGGACTCTCCTTTCGAAAGTTATCGTGTTAACGGCCGGACACACTGACCGATTCTAGAGTGTACTCACTTTTTGAGTACACAAAAAGAAAAATATCAAGTTTTTTTTTCTTATACTTAAGTACAAGGACATTTTTTTAATCATATTTTTTAAAACTAAAACACAAGAAGTTCAACTGATTATTCTTTGATGTACCTATGCAAATTTTCTTAAATACATCTAAAATGTTTAGTGATAAAACGCAATTATTTTGTAAAATCTAGAGAGAAAAAAAGAATTAAATCTACTCTTTACACTGTTATAGAAAAGGTGTTCATTAAATCTGGAAGAGACACTTTTTGAAGTACTAAAAAGTAGATACTTCATGTGTTTTATATCGTAAAGTGTCAACTACTAAAACCAAAGAAAGTTGAATATATTGAATTTTCTCAATTTTTTTTATTGAATATTTCAAATCGATATCATTACATTATATCTTGTTATATATTCTTGTAGAAAGTTTTATAACACTTTTTTTTTTCATTAAAAAATGTATTAAGTAAAACGATTGAGATTGTGTGAAGAAAAATGAAAAAAAGGTTATCGTTTAAAAATAAATTATTTCATAAGATAATATCAAAGAAATGAATAAATCAAAATTATAATAATTTTTATAGTTGATAGATGCGCTCTGAAATTTTATTGTTTCGAAAATATTTGCATTCAAAATTATTCATATTCTCAAATAAACTTTAAATAAATAATTTCTTTTTTCCTAATGTTAACATGTATACAATGTATGCTATAGAGAGAGAGACAAATATTAATGTGCTCTTCGTTTCATCGGTACAATCACCATGTTTACTTGCTATATACATCGATTTGATCTTTTAGTAAGCATCCAAGTACATCATTTTTTCTCTCGACGAACTTACTCCTAGTCAATATTTAGAATATTTAGAATTTCAGAATGATCCAAGAATTGTTATAAGTTAAGTATCTTTTCTCATTGCTTGTACTTGGTGAGAGGTGAAAAAAACTTGATTTAAATTTTCACTAATTATATTTTTTGTATAGGTACCTAAATAAAAACATAGATAACATCTGTTGATGATATATTAATGTTTTGATAGAATGTGCATTCATGTGTGATCGAGTATACACTACTCATATATATATATAGGCAAACGAACAAACTTCGCTTTCACATATTTTAATACTTACAATCATCGACACATCATTTACATGAATAAGAGATAGTAAATGGCCGACAAAGACTCAAAGCCAAAAACTGGTAATATTTATCGTTATATTTCTTTTTCAAATACTGACTTTGTTTTGTATTATTAAATTGTATCTTTCTTCTAGCTGAATGTTATGTGTCTCCACCACACGAACCTGAAATTTCAAATTGTCCACCACATGAGCCTAAGAAGTCAAATTGTCCACCACACGAGCCTAAGAAGTCAAATTGTCCACCACACGAGCCTGAAAAGTCCAATTGTCCACCACATTCATAGTTGAACAAAAAATTTCTACTAAACTGTCATAAGAACATTCAACTAAACTCTATTTTTATTACTAAATATAGAAATATGCATTAACTATTCTATCTACTAATTTTCTATTTCTTCATTAATGTACTCATTAAATACACTTTTTTTCAAATAGTTATTCTATTCATTATACTTTACTTTTCTATATATCTTAATAAAACTAAACGAAATATTTCATTGCTTCATGATATATATTTACATAGAATAAAATTTCTTAATGTAAAGATATTTTGAGCATATTTTCAATGTTTCAACTATTGATTACAAATTTAGTTACTGAGTATCACTTGGATCTATTCAAAAGTATTTATTTTAAAGAGTTGAAGCATGATTTTCTGTAAAATGAAGAAAATGTTCTAGAAAATTAGCTTCTATACTAGTTCTAGATGAAACTCTGATTGCTTATTTTCATCTAAATTATTTGAATTAAAAGATTTTTCAAGTACAACATAAAATTTAATTGTTTTGAAAAACATTCCTTTTATATTTTTTCTCTTCTTTTTTTATACACATTACTCGACAAATCATTCGTATACTGGATCATTTATTTCTTGTATGTTAGTATCCTTTTAATCTTTGTCTAACATATCGATTCAGATTTGTTTGAAAATCATTAAAAAGTATTTAATACAAATCTGAGTAACATCTTGTATTATTTTAGTCAATTTACGTTATGATAATTTATTATTATATTTATCATCATGAATTAATAGTATTTTTTCTTGCAAAGTAACCATGGATCATGTTATTATTCTGTACTTCACCTGTAGAGCAGTTGAATCATACACAATGTACTCGTTTGTAATGCATAAGTTATAAGTGATCGAAAAGAAAAAGAGGCCGAAAGAAAATGTTCACATTAGACAGGTTATAATAGAGAGTGTGGGTGTAAGACTCTCGTTTGAGGGAATGTATGGTAGAACACATATTTAGTCTGCTTAACAGTTTTGAGAGCTTACACCGATTGTGTGCCAAACTTTGTAGTTGTAAAACGCATATTTTTTAATATAATAATATATTATATTTTGAGAGAGAGAAAAGAAATAATGTTTCGTTAACCAAATATATAATCATATGTTTGATTTAATTATAATTTATAATAATCAATAATAATTAATAACAATGATAATAACGATGAACTTTATCAACTGACAATGAATAATAACAATAGGGTGTGGGTATTATTATCTTCCTCACACCCACATGATCTATCATCACAATGCTTATCGAAGCCGGTACATATACAGATTCTCTCAACCTTTACGAATATCTACCTGAATAACTAGCAGAATCAGTCAAAATTAGAGACTTCCTCCGATCTAAACGAACACATTCGTTCATGTGTCTATGTACTCATTTGATTATTTCAACATGATTAACTTATAAATCATATCTTTCTTGAAGCTTAATTAGTTTTATAAATATGTATCACGGTAAATAAATTGTAATAGCACGCATAGGGAACGTACTATAAAACACGTCCGTCAAAATTCTTATTGAGATTTATTCGTTCTTTGTGTATTTATACATGTTGTAAACTATAGATTTCTGTTTTCATTCGTTCTATCATATATGTCCCTATTGTGTTGTCTGGATTTGTTCTATTACTGTCTTACTTTCTTGTATGTGATAAATACAGTGTTTTTCCAATAGTTGTATGTTATCTATTTGTATATGCCAGCTCTTCTCTAACATATGATATGTATATATAAACTTGTTATTTCTATGAAGGGCATATACAGACTGATGAAACCGAATAAAATTAGCACCATATGCGCAATAAAGTATATCAGATCTAACATAAATTTTGGTTTTTTTAAAATTTTTCATGACGCTAAATCATCCTTGTTTCGTAAGTAAAACCCGATGAATCTATACATTCTTCGGGATATGAGTACGGATTTGATCGACAGAAAAGACTCACACCCACATTCTCTGATGATTTTCTTTGTCAGAATGAAATCTAGATCATGGTAACTGTTTTACATTTTTTCTTCACTAAAACAAACATTTTATCTTATTCAATAACAAATCTTTCTCTCAAAACTAGTAACAAATCAAGCAAATATTCTTTACACAAAAACAAACACCTGTATTTCGTTGTTCTTTTCATCTCAATATAAATCACTTCATTTTGTTTATAATAAAAAAAACACTTTCAAGAATTTTAAAATGAAACAAAAGAAACTCGTTTTTTTTCTTAGATAAATGGAAGATTTCTGTGAAACACGATTGGAAATGAGTGTTGAAGTAAATAGAGCAAACCTTGGATTCATTCATCTTCATCCTGTAGACCGTGATAGTCACCTTGTTGAGATTACAAATAACAGCTATATCATGTTTCACGGCATAATTTGGCAGTAATTAGACAAAAACTAACTTATCTATATTCATCTATGAGATTTTATCTATTTTCTTAACATAGAAAAAAGAAAACGATGTTTTGAGGGTAAAGTTCTCCGTCAAGAAACATATTATTCGTGACCTTCGCTATCATATACCAATAATATGAAGCAAAAGATCATCGGTTTTTTTCTCATTACTGTTATCATCAGTTCTTTGATATCATATAATTTGTGAAGTTATTCCGGTCGAAAAATTTTTCTTCTATTAAAGCAATAACCAAAAATAATTGTATTCAATACACTTAAACTATTTATTGTAATAAATGCCCAACTGTATATATGTTGGTGAATAATACATAGGATATAATAATATCCCAGCGCATTTAAGAAAAATACCTAAGAGAAAAGAGAAGAAAACCTATCGTTGAATAGAAAGAAAAGAAAGAGAAAAAGGAAAATACATATATATAATATAACGACAAAAAGGAAATCCCCATATATAGAAGAACATGCAAAAATGATAGATGACAACAGCTGATTATATCTCTTAACAAATTACTACATATGTCATATTTCTTCTTTGTTGTTTTGTATCTTAAAAATATTTTCAAGTGTTTTGTTTTTTTCATCAAGTATTTATTTATATTATATTCTAGTATATAATATTCGATTCACAAATGATATATCTTTTGATTATATTTTCCATGGTAAATTCAATTTACGGTTCATATCACTATATTGGTTGTTATAAACAAGTATTGTATAATAATTATTTCATCAGTTCGTATATGGAACCAACATTATGTTTTCTTTTATGTGACACACCGATTATTTATATACAAGGCAGCATTTGCCGATGTTCAGGTGGTGGTCTTATGGTTCATAATCAACAGATAGATGAACTTTGTAGCATACCATGTAGAAAACCAGGTGATCGTCGAACTATAACAGTTCAAGCATGTGGAGGTGCACAAACATATTCAGTTTATGCTGAAGAAAAATTTTATACTCATCATGCTCATTTATTCAACTTTCGAATTCAATTTAAATCATGTGAATTATGGAATACTTCTCATAATTATGATGCATTACAAATTAAAATTAATAAATCATATGTTAAATCTCCATTGAATAAATTAGAACGATGTGCTGCTGCATGTCTTGATCAAAATACTACGACCAAATCAATAGGTAGAAAAAAAAATATATATAAAGAACTAATAATCATCAACGAATAAACTCTAAGGAAATGTATTTCCTGACGAAAAAAAGATCTGTGATAGGATAGAGATGGTTTCTGTCAGGAAAAATATTTCTTTAAAATTCATTCGATTCGATGCTAACTCTGAATGCCATACTCATTTTGACTTACAGTTGTGTCTTGTTAATGAAGAACGCTGAAAGATTTTTCTTTTTCTAGTGAAAAATCCCGTTGAAACAGAGATGTACGAATTCTGTTTCACATCGAAGGTTAACTTTTTTCGATATTTTTTACCATTTTTTAGAGACTCAAAAATTGCACAACATATATAAAATTCACTGTGATGTATTTTAGTTTCAAATACTATGACAGCAGATATACTGTGAATGATCAATCATTTTGACCTAGTCAATTGTGACATGTTTGACTTATTTTGAACTAGAAACATCCAGTAAACACGATTTTCGACTATTTTTTTTTTTGATAGAAAGTAAATATTGACTTACTTCATTATAGTGCCTGGGAATGAGCTAAAATTTTGGGTTGCAGCGTTTTAGTCTATGGCCTTGCGAATATCAATTAAAAATCTAGAATTTTTGACCAGTGTCTCCATTCACTTATGGACTCTCCCTTAAAAGCCTCTACAATGTATCATTTCAGTAGAATTTTTCTCATTGAACATCAATTGATGTTGTGCTATTTAAATTTTATTTTAATCAAATTATATAATATTCAATTCGGTTTAGATCGAGTAACATTGATTATAAAAAAAAATATTATAAAAAGTAAAATTAATTTATCCGTGTTAAACTGTTTTTCTTTTAGCACAAAATCTGTGATTCTTCAACATCTAGTTGCTAAAAGTGTCCATTCTTGAAGGAAAGCTAAAATTCCGATTAAAATACCTCTATTTTAATTAGATTTTCAATCTTACGGAGAGATATCATTTGATTTTAATCATTTTTTATTCTATTTTAAATGATTATCGAAAATAAATCAATTATAGCTAATTATGAGAGATCAATTTGAATTGATTAAAATTTGTTAATTAATTAAAATAGAATTGAAAAAGTTTACAATTGAATTAAATATATTCTTTCGAATGAAAAATCTAATTAACATCAAATTTAGATACTACCATCTAAATCACTTGTTTAACTAAAAGTGATCGAAATTTAATTTGATTTTAATTTGTTTCGTTTTTACATGAACAATTGAGTCTGACAAATTTGTTCAATAATCTTTGATTGTATAGACATATGTTGGCAAAAATCTAGACCAAAATAGAAGGCCAATTTTGAAAGAGCAATATGGATTTTCGTAATATAGAAAGTCATCACTTTTTATTTCGTGAGCAAAAGTAAAGCAAGAATTTAATTTACTGACATTTTAATTTAGACATTGAATTGCTAATTAGT